GGGCCCAACCTCCCGTCCACACCCGAATGTTTTGAAACATTTCGCTGTCGCAGCCGAACAGTACCCGACCTCACCGAACACCAGCCAACCAAGACCTACCTTGCTCCCGACCTAGCCTCTACCGGGCACCGCGGATCGCTGGAAAAATAGTAGAAATTGGCCGAAATAAAGGGATAGTATACCAGAGAAGATCCAGGGCCATAGAAGCTCCAATTTGCGACCCCGTGGGTATACTATCCCTTTATTTCGCACCGGCTACAAAACCAATTTTTAGATAGTAAAGGACTTATAGGCATGCCAATAAGTGCATAAGTAAGGGCCTGGAGGACGTCCTCCCGTCCTCCAGAGGACGTGATAACGCATTGCTATCCTCTCGAGAGGATATCGGCCACAGCGCTCGTATTATTGGCCATGGACAGCGCACCACGTGATTGTACCGGGTACTGTGAAACCAGGCACCGATCGACTGGACCCGTTGGTGTTTGCTATACCCAGTATACGCACGCATTTTGGTTAAATTGTCCGAAATCTGCAATTTTTGAGGTGATGAAGATCGAGCAATTCACCTTCAGAGTGTGGACAGCTATTTGGACAAGTCCTGGGCAGTTTTTTCTCAGGTAAGGATGCCAAAACGTCGTATATATATAAACTTACGTAAACATACGGTCGGTGGGGAGGGGTACGGGTCTACAACCGTGGCTTTTTGCTGTTTGGGGGTAGGAAGTTTGTAATTTCTTTCTTCTTGTTGTGTATCGGAGTTCTGGTGGTCCAACGTCAATTTATTTTTTTAGACCGGAGCCTGTATCAAATATAAAGCCGAGGCGAACCGCCCCCCTCCCCCATGATCGCGACCCACATGGGTTTACGGAAAAACCGATCCAGTCCAACAGGCGGAAAAACCTACCCGGTCTGAGAAAAAGGTCTGCTTGGGGTCTAGGCCTGCTTTTATAGCCCAAATAACCACTATTTAAGAAATTTTATTGTGTTGAGAAAACAGATTTGATGTGCAGGTTGGATCCATGTACAAAGAAAGACAAAGAAGAACTAAGAAGGGTACAGAATCAAGCTGCAATATTCTGTATGAACAGAACTATTAAAGAGGTGCTAGTGTCACAGAAATGAAAAGAAACCTACAGTGGGTATCACTGGAAGGCAGAAGAAAAGTGTCCAGACTATGCATGATGTACAAAATGACTAGTTGGTGGATGTCCCAACTACTTTAATAGTACATGTACCTAATACCAGCCCAGAAGAGAACAAGAAATAGTCATGCCTTCAAGTAGTACCAGAGTTATCAACCTAGGATTGAGGTGTTCAAGAATTCATTCTTTCCTAGAAGTATCGCAGAGTGGAACTCGCTGTCACCTAGTACAGTAGGGGCATTGTCATTAGTTAGCTTTAAACAATGTCCAGAATTAGATGATCAAGGGTTAGGTGTAACAAGTCGATCGGTGTAATGTAGCCAGCTGCCGCCGTGCCGCGTGCCTGCGAAGCTGGTGTGTTTCGCCGAAGGGCAGTTATACTGGCTATTATTATATCCTGATACAGATTCAGACAGATTATAAGGTGTGGCTGCACATAAAAAGGGGATATGTAGGCTAACAGGAGGGGTACTAATTTCGGCCCATGTTCCATTTGCCAACACACACACTTTTTGTAATAGTTTGTCCTTTACCAAAAACCTGCGCAACATGAACTTTAATATTGACAGATAAAGATACTAGTAACAATGATTAAATCCACACAGGTGTATATTTTTACCTCAGTGCAGTGCCTTGCACCCAAGTGTAGTGGTTTGTGAAATTATATGAAATTTGGGTCATTTTTGCCAGTGGAACATTCTATCGCATCAGGCCTAGGGGCTAGGGGTGCCCTAAATTCTGACCTAGCCAAAACACAGGCATATGACTAAAACTATATACAACTGTTTTTCTGCCCCCAAACAAGTTTTTACCATTAGCGACTTGCTTCAAAGTGGCTGTTTCAAAATCAAAACTGCATTTTTAACACATACGCAACTGAACAGACTTTTGTGGGATTACAACAAAAAAAAGATTTTTGTGCCAAAACTGTAAATATGAAATTTTAACATCTAGATTGTCATTTTACATACATACTAGTACATACATGTATGTATTAGCATCACCATTTTGCACCAGGCCCACTGTACTTTTAGGCGGCATCTAAAAAGGTTTGTTTTGGTATTTTCGTCAGCTTCCGATGCGTTTTTGTGGCGCAACGATTTGATCTTTTACTCCGTAAATGAACCCAGGTAGGCTTATAATATTATACTAACAAGTTGTAGCACAAGGAAAATGTGATTAACAATGGCATTTAAAATATATGGAAATCTTACATAAAACTCATTGCCTTAAAACCATGGATTGAGTTTGCAAGGCAAATGATTGACTATACTTCCCAAAGAAATATTGGATTTATCCAATTGTTGAATATACCCCCCCTCCATGATTTACTATCTCCTAGAGCCGTGTACCTGTACATATAATTTGTTTAGATACACAGCTCTACTATCTCATTTAAACATTTTGAGTACACAACCCAAAAGGAAATGTTCTGATGAAATTTTTAATAGTGATTTTCAGCTTACAGTCTGATTACAGATCTAACACAATGTACAATCAATTGTAGGGTAGAACATTTGGATTAAATAAACTACCTGAAGAGGCAGGTTTTTCGGCCAGACCTCCACTAGAGTAACTAGATGTGGATACTATTGTTTGACTGGCTGAAAACAATCAGCTTTGTGATTAGGTAGGGGATAAAATTCATAAATGTCACCAATCCTGCTGAATTTAGCATTAAGCATTGTCCGAAACCCCCATGCAGACCCCTTTATTTTGACAGGTTTTTCAGACTCCCAGACTGGACAGGTTTTTCACCAACCCGATCCAGATAACTAGCCTTTGTGGGTCAGTCCATTTAGTAATAGTAGTTGAATAATTGGAATGTGACATTTTGTAATCTGCTCCAAATTAAAACTGACAGTGAGAGCTGCGTTTTTAAGGTACCATGCTTGTTATGGTACAAATACTGGGAGCTCTTTTCCAAATACTAGTGTATATATAGATTTGATCATAAGACTTAAAAGTTTATTTTGCACGGGATGTAAACCAATTGGCAAAACCTGTTTTTCCACCTTTTTTCTCAAAGTTGCACCTATGTAGCAAGAACCAGCATACTCCATGGTCAGCATAGCAGGCTAGATATGGAGTAATGCTACTACAGTTAAAATTCACTGTTCAATATAGCCTGGTATCCAGTCTCCACTCAGTCAGGCTGGGCATACATGTAAGAATGAGCATAAATGTAAAAATTTGGAATCCAGCTAGCTGCAGTGATAATTTTAAGAATATCCAGAAACACAAAGATTTCTCAAACAGGTGACATTGAGATTCTTACATGTACTGCATTCCAATAGCATTGAAAACAGCTCTGATCACATTCAGGTTAGAATCAAATGGGCCATAATATTTCGGATACACTATGAAATTTTCACAATGCACCTTGAATAACATTCTGCCTGTCATGTGAAGGGGGAGGGCAGACATACAGGTACAGTGCTGGTAGCTGTAATTACTGTAACATAAACAGGTTTGGCAAATAATCCAGTATTAGTTATATGCAGCCAAGGTAGCAAAGTTAACGTAACTGTAATTCTAGTGGTAAATCACTGATTTTGTATAAAGATTCATTATCTAAAAAGTACAATACTAGTATACTCAAGTTTTCCTGATTTTCAAATGCTATAAATTGTCTCCATAATTTGTCATCTTTGAGATGCAATTTACGTTAAGTTTATATTATTCATTTACAAGTTCATACCCGAGAGGTAACTGCAACACGAAATGATATATAGGATAATTTAAACATTGGTTATGATCAAAACTTTTAACATCAAACCAAGGATATTGTATACTATAGAATGTCCTTGATCATAACATTGAACAAATTGTGCATGATATTTGATAACTGGCAAGTTGAGAATATTAATACATGCATTGCATCACAATTCTTTTTTTCTAATTTCACAATTCTTGTGAATTTAGAAGCTAATTCTTAGTAACAATAGATATGTACATTCTATTTTTCTCCAGGGCCATAAACTTAAAGGAGTACCGGGCAGACTTCGCCTTTGAGGAAAGCATTCAGAACATGAAGCTGTGTGCGAACAGTGGAAGTCATCAAGCACTTGCTTCAACAAGATTTCTGCACAAGACTTGTTCTCAGGGCAAGTGAGAACAGATGAGAGCAGGCACCATTGTAACTAGTCAGCTATCTTGCCCAACTAGAAGAAGGCTATTACATACATTTTGTACATTTGTATATTTAGTTTTTATAAAAGTGTTGATAAGATAACACATTTGACATATGTAGGTATGTCAGCTGATTTTTAGGTAAAATGACCTACATGTAACCACTTTCTGGTAATGTTGATGGTATATTCACTCACACTGTATACAATACATATTGTATATACAATACATGTGTATTAGTTGAATATCATATCCTTGCACAGAAGCACAGAAGGAACTTCAAGCCTTATTGCAATTTCATACACACTGTTTGCAAGATATCAAACAATGAAATAGCAAAATGCATAATGAGAGTAAAATGCATAATGAGAGTGGCTGAGCAGGTACCATTTTATCAGTCAATTTATAAACATTAAACAAACCTCCTTGGTCAAAAATCTACTTATGATGTCTTTGTGTATCTTCATGGTTTGTTCTTCAGCTTCATCTCAATGAATATCCCTAGTCATCAAGTAAATTGACATATCAAGCTTTGTATGCAATCATTCCAGTACTTTTATCTTAAATATTGATGTACATGTATATGTAGTAGGCTTTTTAGAATATTGTAATAGAAATTGGTAAAGCCTGAAGAGGCTCAGGAAGGGAGCAATTGCTGACCTAGGCATTTATTGAAGGGGGGGGGTAGCTGCGGTGTATAAAGAAGCAGTATTAAACCTATTAAATGTTGTGTTTTACACATTCCAATATTGTCTGAAATTTTTCTGTCTGATTATAGATAAAGCTACTGAAGGTCTTCAGCCAAAGTTAATTTGTCTTGAAATATCAAATGCTTCTCCCAAGAATTAGACTTTTTATGGTAAATAATGAAAAATTTTGCAACGAAAGGAAAGTTCACTGAAATTGGTAATGTTAGGTTTGTTGTGACATACCAAGTAAAGATATGAATGTTTCGTTGAGAAGGGATTTTTATGCTAATGATGAAAAATTTTCAACGCGGAGCTATTTTGTAAAAATTGGTATTGTTGGGTCTGTTGCGATACGCCAAGTTCAAATATGTATATTTTGTTGAAAAATATTATTAGGGGGCCCCCTATGGACAGAAAAGGGATTTTTATGCTAATGATGAAAAATTTTCAACGCGGCACTATTTTGTAAAAATTGGTATTGTTGGGTCCGTTGCGATACGCCAAGTTCAAATATGTATATTTTGTTGAAAAATATTATTAGGGGGCCCCCTATGGACAGAAAAGGGATTTTTATGCTAATGATGAAAAATTTTCAACGCGGCACTACTTTGTAAAAATTGGTCTTGTTGGGTCCGTTGCGATACGCCAAGTTCAAATATGTATATTTTGTTGAAAAATATTATTAGGGGGCCCCCTATAGACAGAAAAGGGATTTTTATGCTAATGATGAAAAATTTTCAACGTGGCGCTATTTTGTAAAAATTGGTATTGTTGGGTCCGTTGCGATATGCCAAGTTCAAATATGCATGTTTCGTTGAGAAATATTGATAAGGGAGCCCCCCCTGCACAATATCTTGAAAAGTAATGTATTTTGCTGCAGTTCCCCTGCTTCTCGCCAGGATATCTACAATTTTTTTCAAGGTGTTACAACTAAAATAAAAGATGGAATTGTGAGGCCATGGTAAGATTACCTAATAATGGGTGTCTTCCGTGATTATCAGTCAATTTTGTTGCGAAATTGTCCCGAATTCCCCCAATATTTATTTGCTGCACTTTTATTGAAAACCGCATGGGCAACTTGAAACGGGTTTTCGTCTAATTACTAACGAACGGTTTGGGATACGGTCATAGTTACTTTGTTCAAAGTTATATAGTATCGTAGGCTATTCGTGTCTAAAATATGGTGTACCTGTGTTGATTGTAACGTGATCTATTTGGCTCTAAAGAATTCTTGGTAGGAACGCGTTTTACTACTTCGAGCCCCTAGAACTGGAGATAGGTGAATGGTCTATATTCTCATAAAAGATGAAGGAAGAGCAAATTTATTAACACTACAGGCAGGTCAGTATATCAGCCTGGTATTGTGCAAGTTTTGTCCGGATATACAAAATCCTTATCAATTTATGAAGGGAAGCGCACTTCTGTGAGATGCGATCCTAAAATCGTCTATGAGGAACGCAATGTTGGGACGACGCCTCCTTGCCAAAAGGTCTGGGAGTTATATTTCGCTAAGACTTCAACGCATTTCGTTTAAATTTGAGAGACTGATTTTAAAATGCGTTCCCACCCCATGCCCAAATTCCCATGCCGATATCACAATTTATTTTTGAGTTAACTATCTTTAAATCTTTTTGAGATTAACTTCCATAACTACTTCACATATCACAGTTCACATATCACCTCAATTGAAGATTGTATTTTCACAGGCATAAAAAGAGCAGTTTTATTGACAGCACAGCTAGAGCAGTACATCAGCCTGGTATTGCGAGAGTTTTGTCCCTACTATACAAGACCCTACTCGTTTTATGAATGAAAGCGCACTTCTATGCGACGCGGTCCTAGAATTGTAATGTTGGGAGGATGTCTTCTTGCCACAAGGAAACCGCAACATCTCGGCGGCCATAGCGCGCTTAGAACTCAACAGATTTCTTTCAAATTTTTGGGACTGATTTGTAAATGCTTTGATAGCCGATACCCAAATTCTCATGTCGAAACAATAATTCTTTATTTATTTATTAAGTTTTACCACGTACAATATGCACTGTGGATGGCATGGCGAAACAGGTGTTTCTGACATGAAACACCCTTTCAGAGCCGCCATACCAATAAAATGACAAAACAATACAAAACGTAATCAAATCACATAATACAATTTGAGAAACAAATGAATAAACTTAGAAATACAAGGCAAGTCAACTTATTGACATTGTGAGAGTTATTGATTTGAGACAACAAAGAACGACAGTTATATAGCCAGCAGTGATATCACAGTTAGCGCGGTCTTGTGGCCAGACAAGTAGCGCAACCACAAGATAACTGCCACGTACAGGGTTGCTCTAAACTGTAGGTTTGGCAAAATCTTTGTGGAGTTACTATCATGTAACCATCTAGAAATTAAATCGTACTTCTATAACAACTTCGCATGCCGTGAATACCTTCTATCTTCACAAGAGATATAAAAGAAAAGGTTATCTATTAACTGGACAGCTAGATAAGTATATTAGCCTTGTCTTGTATAAGTCTATAAAAATATATACGCTTATATGCGGTGCAAAATATCTTAATTGTCTGTATTTTGGACGCCTCCTCGCGTGAACGCTCTAGGTCGCACAGGGCACATAGGTGATATGCATTTATTTGGATTATTCGTTCTGAATTTGGATTGTGAACATGTTACACGTGAACGTGTATAATTGAATCGATATGCTAAAATCATGGAATATCACCGATCTACGTCATATCTCGGTGAGAGAAGACAAACGTGTAATTTGTGAAATCATTATAGCTCATCAACCCCTCAGTTGCCTATATTGACTACGCTTACCGTTATTTAAGTGTTACACGAGTTCGTAAGACTTTTGGGTGTACAGGATAATACCCTTTTATTTTGTTGACTTTCAGAGATGAGTAATGGACTTGTCGTGGAATGGAATTGTGATCGCCTGCGTTGCAGCCGACCGATGATGATGATGATGAATTTGCATTAAAATGAATGCTGATAGGTGTGAACCAATGAAATTTTATGGAAAGGTTTCAGCTTCCGCTTGAAGTCAGTACATTGTTCAGTGTAACAGACCCTCTTTTCCCTCAGGGAAACTTATACAAATAGCTACTATTATCTATTGTGAATAAACTCTAGTTTATCTGTAATTCATGAAATGATCTTTTGTGTTCATATACAACGTTTCTCATTTTATATCATAACTAGGAAAAGACACACTCAACACAAACGTCTGAAATACCAAGATTTGTGTGATTTTATTGACACACATGACAATGAAACCAGTGTTTTCAGCTACCTTTCTCGTAATGCTACACATATCAATAATCCACAGGATACAAATCTGGTATGATTTAAAGGCACCCGAATTGATAGATGCTATAACTGTTACAATGTTCACAATTCTCCTCAATCCTATTGTTTCATATGGTTTTTCCATGTGTTTAATGGAGACCAAGTAGAATACAGGGTTCTCACCAGATTTTTTCAAAGCGTAGGGGACACGTACAGAAGGGCAACTTTCTGTGGCACAAGCCACACATTGAGTCCACAAAACATGTATGCAGTAGGAGAGTAGTGTTCTCCGAGAAAACTCATGAACCTGACAGTGAGGCACTTTCCAATCAGAGAAGTTTGCACAAATAGCTACCATCAATTATAGATGGACTAAACACTAGTTCATCTTAATTCAGAATGATATATAATTTTTGTAGTTATGTTATCTATCTCGGTGGAACGTTTAGGGGTACAAAGTCACATGGCACATGTTTCGCCCCTTCTATAATTGAATATATAACAATAACTGTAAGAAGGCACGCTCAACACATGTACGTATGAAGAATTTCTTAATCTGCTCATATCCATACAAAAACTGACAATGAAAATGCTGGCTTAAGGTTACAAGTATCAGTAGTTCTTGGGAAATAATATGTGATCACATACAGTAGTCATAAGACAATAATCCACACCTGTGACAGTACTATAAATTGCATTTCTTTCCACAAATTTTCATTGCCATTGTTTTCTCAAAGCTCAGTTCCTACATGTAGCTATCCAGGACTTTGAGGTGGCCCAGTGTGGTCTGCTTTCTGGTGTCCACAGTTCAGCTGTATGTTGACGTCTGGCACCTGTGACAGGAAGAGGGAAGAATGTCAAATCATGCACCAGCTTCAAGCTTCTTCTACTTAGAGTTAAACATAAACCTGGCATCAAAATCAACCTGAACAAACATAATTACATCACGAGTTTCAGTTTCTACAATCAAAACAGAGTAATAATAATATCATGCACATGTAATTCTGTCATGCAAGGAGATGATATATAGTGATAAAAAAACCTAGTACATGTAACTAATGATCACTTGATGATCGATGAATTATGTTTACATCAATCAGCACATTGGAATAAGCAAATTGAAGGACAGTCACAAGAAGGCACATGAACTGGTACCTCAAACAATGTTTTCATGACTGATGACAGTCTATCATCATCTTCCTTATGGCAATCAAGGGGGTTAAATACTGACTGGATCTATTTTGCACTACAAGCTAGCTATAGGTGTGACGGTTGTGGAGTTATTAATGTGGCTCAAAACATAGAATATAGATGATGTTATTGTACAGCATTATTATTATGTTACATCATATTAATTCTCCATGTTGCAGCATTCTTTAGTACTAGGCTAAACCAGTTATGACATATACCAGGCTAACAAATTACACTGAATGTAATACACTAGTATTTTAAACTGGAAAATATGACTTGTGAGGGAACAAGTTGTTGCAACTCAAAAGTATGTCTGAATCTGATGCTTTTCCATGACCCGTGGTGAAGATTTTTGCAAACATTGATGTGATTGTAAATGTGTAACAGTAGCCTTCATTTACTCCCCCCTCTCTGTATAGGAGTACTGTAAGGAAATTTAAGTGCAGCAATTTTATCAGCCTGATCTTCCTAGATATGCAACAAATAAAACCCTTGGCAGATACCACTACAGTCAAAATCATAGTTGACCGTTGAATAAGCATTTAAACAATTTACCCAGTACACCC